CAATGGTCCTGATTACTGATGCTTAAAACAGCACTTAACTCACTTTAGTCCTTGTGCACACGAGACGTTTTGATAACGCTGGTAACGTTAGCTGTGTAAAGTCATGTTAAAAATGTGAGTTTTTTAGCGTTTTTTGCATTAGCATTTAGCAGCATTTTGCCGCGTTTAGCATCGTTTTCCCACATTTTTCCGTGACTGCATTTTTTTAGCTTTTTTTACCCCCAAAAAATTAGTTTTTTGGTAAAAAAAAAGTCTAAAAAACGCTGGTTTGCTGCATTTTACCGCATTTTTCAGCATTCGAGCATTTTACAGCTAAAAAACTCCACTAGAAACCCACCAGTTCTGAGGTTTTTTTCCAGCCAAAAAATGCTGATTGCAGTCTATGTGTGCATGGACACATAGGATAACATGCTGGGGGGTTTACTGGCTGTACAAAAAAATGCCAAAAGCCAAAATCAGCCGCTGTAAAAAAAAGTGTGCATGAGGACTAAGAAGTGCTTAAAGCAGTAGTAAACCTTCTACAGAAAAAAAAGAAAAAAGGGTTCCCCCACAACGTAATGTGATAAAGTGATAGTATGTATCGCATACTTACCTTAAAATGAAGCCCTCCAGCGGTGTGATGTCATCGCTCCCAGGGCTTCCATCTTCACCTGGTCTTCCTTCCTTCCGGGTTTGCAGGCTCTGGCCATCTGACTGGCCGGGCCACGATGACATCACTTCCACACATGCACCCAGGGTGCGTCGGGCATGGCACAGAGCTCTGAAGGAACAACACGGCGTGACGGGAGTCACTTGGGTGGGGGGGGCCCATGGAACCCAGCTCACTTTGGTGAGACCCCTGTCTCAGCTCCCCATATCCCTCTTATGTGTAAGTCACCTTGTGTCTGTTAGGGGTACAGGGTGATCTGTCCTAATATTGTGTAGACATATCTAGGAGATAGGTGGGGTGGGGGGTTGTGAATTGTTTGGTGTTGTGTGGCTGCATCCCATTGTTCTATTGTTTTGTCTGGCTTGGGAGCAAACTATTATGGGATGTATGTGTTTAAGTGTATTAGCTTAGTGGGGGGGTGTCTCCAGCAGCACTCCCTCCTGATGGGACTGTCTGCTGGTGTGAAGTTTGAATACCTGTGTGTTGCTTGTTACTAAATGTAGATTGCCCCGCCCTGTGTCATTATGCAGGGAGGGGGGGACTGTCCCTGGAGTGAATATATCTTGTATCTGTGTAAATAAATTAGTCTACCTTCTAGCTTCTGCTTGTTCTCCTGAGGACTTCTTTTCTAGTGGGTCCTTCACTCACTGGTTTTATCTTTCTATTGCATGGTTTGGTCCTGAGAACACTGCCCTTGAACTTGGGTGAGTCGGAATATTCTGTATATATTCTCTATATTCAATTGCATCTATATGAGTCAGGGATCCCATTTTATTATCTTATGCTACAGTGATATCCAGGTCAACATTATTGTATGTCATTTTAGCATTCCTTAAAGTGTTACTAAACCCACAACAGTAAAATCAGTCTATATATGCAGTAAAGCATGCTTGTTATACTCACTGTGGAACCTAAGGGGTTAATTTTCCTTATTGTGTACAAAGGCTGTTTGATCCTGTGTTCTGTGATCCTCCCCTCTTTCTATCTCAATCCCTCTGCTGATAGTACAGAGCTCTAGGAGTTACTCTGCAAATGCTCAGTTTGGTGTGTATGGCTAGAGTTTTTTTTTTCTTTGGAAAAGTGCATTTGATCAGCACAGAGCCATTCAGTGCTGTCCAGACAGAGGGTCAGGGATCATGTAGCCTCGTAGGACAAAGAAGAATGAAAACTCTTCCTACAAGCTTTAACCAGTGCTCTGCTGGGCACTGATAGAAGACACAAGACTGCTCTAACTGCTGATGAGAAAAGGTATTTAGCAGTCTCTATTTACTAAAATAATTGCATTTCCATGTTCTGTGTGCTGTGGGAGACCAGATATAGTGAATGCAGGGTCCTGGGTTTAGTAACACTGTAAACATTATTTAGTACACCTTTACCCTAGACGCCGAGCGCACACAAATATGGCCCCTCTCAGCATCTAGGCCTTGATGCCGAGCGGCAGCATATTTGCGTACCATTTGAAAATGCATATGTGCTGAGAGAACGTGCCCTGCGCGCTCCCAGCACATATGTCCTTGGCTTATGGAAAGGTCCTGATCTTCCCTTGCGATCGGGAACTTTTCCGATCATGTGACCGCCGTGACATCAAATCACGGCGGTCACATGATCCTAAAACCCCGCCCTGCCTCCTGGTTTCTGAAACCTCTTAAAGGGCTGGGAGGCGCCGGCGCAAAGGGATAAAGTAGTATTGCAGCTTGATGGATCAGGGCCAGTAATGTTCACATCTATCTGTCTGTCTATCTATCTATCTATCTATCTATCTATCTATCTATCTATCTATCTATCTATCTATCTATATCTATTTATCTATCTATCTATCTATCTATCTATCTATCTATCTATCTATCTGTCTATCACAAGGACTAGATTTCCATCAATGGTGCATGCAGCAATTAAAAACACCTCTTTTACACTCAATATGTTCTTTTTTTTTTTTCTGGTTCTAACCTGTTGTGGAGTACTGTGACAATGTGTAATCATACAAATTAATTAAAAAAAATGTTATAGTAGATTAACATATTTTTATCTGATGATAGGAAAGCCATCTTCTGCCATTTGCCTCCTATATTCAAACCTAAAGGTAAATCCAGCCCAGCATGTACAGTATTGTTTAAAATTAGATAGATAGATAGATAGATAGATTAGATAGATAGATAAAGATTAGATAGATAGATAGATAGACAGACAGACAGACAGACGGACAGATTGATTTGATATGGAGCTGTATCATTACTACAAAATCTCATGTTTGTTGCAAAAATGTGATAGAATATGTGCTACTTTGTGTACTGATTAGTGTCATTGAGTGACTTAAAAGCCAAACTACACTTTAAAAAATGTGACCAGGAATTTGGGTTGCATGAAAACGGCTTTTTTTTTCTTTTGAAATCCCCACCCAAAAACTTCAGTTCTGGTCTAGAAATAAAGGGCGGACGTGCTTTGTGTGAGAGCAGAGTTCTCTGTACAGTGGTTACACATACCCCTGCCTTGTCACAGCTAAAGCGGTACAGTTAGCATAGCTCACTTTACCTGTTGATTGAAGTGCTGCAGCTGTGACAAGGTTTGGGGAGTGTCTGACATATATATGCATTTTTTTAACCCATAACTAGGTATATAGTACCCTGAAATCTAATTTAAGTTTAAAGTTTGGTCAGCCAAAATGTTTTTTTTTAATTTTGGATAAAGGGTTAAAATCCCTTTCAGGTTCTTATCTGGAGCTCCCTTAGGGCAATAGCCCTTCACTTTGTCATGGTGGCAATGGTTTTACCAAACCGGAAGTTAGGAAAAATGTAAAACAGTGACACAGGCAGAAATAAAACGGTGACAAGGATTCTAGCCCTCCCGCACTCTAATACAAAAAAAATATGTTCTTGTCTGTGTTGCTGTGGGGAGATTTTTTTCTTGCTTCCTGTCTAGTTAAACCATTGTTAAGCAGGCCATAGACGGCTCCAAAACCGGATGTTTTTCGTCCGGTAAACGAAAAACTGATCGTTCATTAAACTGACATAACCACCAATGATTACGAAAATCGGCCGACCAAGTCATAAAAATCATGACATATAACAGGAATTAACAGGTCACGGCTCATGCACATTTTTTTCCCGTAAAAAACGATTTGACCATCATTGACGCAAAAATCGGTAATTTTCCACGAATTTTCCAACATGATCGATAATCCAAAAGTGGAAAAAACATGAAAAACGGCCGACAAATTAACCCACTAACAGTGCAAAACAGTGCCGATTTTCGAACTGTCTATGGCCGGCATTAGCGTTATATAATACAATAATGTCATTGATAACAGTAAAAACTGGAGGGCTCTTTCTATTCCCATTGTATCCAAAACTAAAAAAAGAGTTTTGGCTGGACAGAAATTTAAAATGGGCTCATCAGGGAGAGTGTTCCTGGATTTTTGGCAGCAATTTACTATAGGCATTCTAGGTATATGTGAGATCTGTTTTTTTTAGCCTCAATGAGGAGCCCCATTGTGGTTGCAGTATGTGGTTGGTAAAAAATAAAGGTAAGAAAAGTGGTATCAGTGCATATGTATTTTTGGCCCAGCTTTTTTGTAAAGCAAACCAAGCACACATATGACTTAAATATTTGAATAATCCCCCCTCCTTCAAAAACACATATGGTTTTATAATCTCATAACTTCTATTTAAAAGGGCTGCTTCTATTTTATGTAGGGTAGCCATTTGGTGAAATAAATCTGCTATGAATTAGGTATCTTACAAGTATATATATTTTTTTATATAAAAGTAAATTTTGGTATATATTTCCAATCAATATGAACATCCAGGGAGAAATGCCCTATGATCTCCAGATGTTTTAAGTCTTTGAATCTTCCTCTTTTTCCACATTATGTTAGTGCTGGTACCCGTATGTGCTGGTTGCTGTGCCTTTTACATAAGACCAGCTTGTAAGTTGTATGTCATGCTTTGGGCTCAATCTACAGATCTTTGATATCTTCTCTGGTACCTGTAATGGAAAAGCAAAGTGCAACGTGCTTCCTTCTTGTCCACTCGGTGTTTAGAACAAATCCTTTGTATAGTGGTATGGAAGGGTATACTACCACCTTGAGTTTGATCCTCAAGAAGCTTCTCTTTAAGGTGATCACTTTATCCATTTCATCTCTTTAAGGTATCATCATGGTCATCCCTTCATCCCAGCACTTTCTGTCTTCTCTGTTTACGAGGACCTTCAAAATTCCCTAAATTATCTTGTTTTATATTCCGATAACTGGCTTCACAGTCTGGTCTCCTATTTGTGTCTTTCGTTTTTTAACCCCTTTGTTCCTTCACACATTTATTGCCCTCTTTCTACCAGCTTATCTAGTTCAGTCTTGAGGCTACTCCCAGTGGAAGTCCTGGCCCACTGTCTCATAGAACTTGATGTTATGAGGTCTGTAGAACTCTCTTAACTGTTCTATATCATCGGTGTTAATTTGTACATGAGTCCGACCCTTAGATTTGCCTAAACAGCGAGGTGCTCCCCCACCCCCGGGTTTCTTGAGGCAGGGGAAGCCCTTGGTCTTGTTGAAATAGAAGTGCTTGTCTGTGACCAGACGTTTGAGACCAAGGAAGTCTTGTACTCTAGCCATTTCTCCTGCTGGATCTGTGATCAATCGCTCTCCACTTACAAAGTGCATTTGGGAAATTGGGAAATGGTTAAGCCAGGGCTGCAGATGCAGAGCATAAAGTCCAATTCGAATGGCATTCCATGACGTGTCCACCTCCCCGATTGTCCTGTTGTTGAATGCCAGCTCACTGAAGCTAGGTATGTCTGGTTTCTTGGATAGAGTCTGTGTATAGTCTGAGATTGCACGGGTCACGGGGTTACGGACCACCACTATCAGTTTGACCCGAGGGGACATGTATGAGATTCTCCGGGGAGCCTCCCTTGTCACAAAATAGCTGGGGGTCTTCTCTACAGTGATCTGTCTGTCCAGGGATCGAGGCATCAAATTTCTGTATTTGGAAAAAGGGAATATCAGTGACATTGAATATGATGTATTAAATATTAAATCATGAAATTCAAAGTAAGCGAAAATATTGCAAGAACATTATTCAAGAGCTGCAAAAGAATGCTATCAGTCACTACAAGTGTTTTCATACAAATATCATACAAAAATGATGCTTGATAACCTACCATCATGTGCTCTGCTTCTACTGTGTTATTTTATCCTATGTGCTTTATGTCAGCTATCTGTACACTTTACTTCCCTCAATTGTACTCTTCTACCTCTCATGATTCAAACTTAATTATCCAGCACAATGGCCAGAAGCACATTGTAAAGGTAGCTCACAGCTAAAATATTGCCAGAACTTCATTCTCATATGCATAGGCCACTAAAGAATCACTAATAATACCAAAGTGCCTCAAATCTGAACCTTCAAGTAATAGAAAGAAATAATGAACTATGTAGGCTAGAGTGTCAATGGTTTCATTGTGAGCATTCAGAAAACTCTGTCATTTGAGCTGGAACATTGGAAACTCCCATGACTGATGATTAAGTTGCCAGATAGGTAGATTTTCTCAGATGTCTTGGGTGCCAGAGAACCTGGTACTGACATTGCTCAGAACCCAAGCCAAAAAAAAGACTGGTAATGAGCAATGATTGATATAGACAAGACATTGTTTTCTTTGATCCTCTAAGTTCAGTAGTTTTCATGACTCTTCATCTTACTCTTATCAGGACTAAGTTATTAGACTAAAAAAAGTGTGATCACATGGTACAGTCCAGATTCAATTGTACCTTGAACTGAATACCTATTAATTCTTTGTTGGTCTACAAATGGGCAGACTTTCCATGTTAAAGTGTAAAAATGATAATATAAGATACTTTTATTTTCAGTACATCCTGTAGATTCTACAAAAGAGGAGGTTGGGGAAGTTGGGCTGTGTTTATCATTAGGCACATGAAGCAGCATGGCGAAAAGAGATGACTCCGAACTAAACTGTTACAGCAGGTGTTAAAGTGTTACTAAACCCAGGACCCTGCATTCACTATATCTGGTCTCCCACAGTACACACAACACGGAAATGCAATTATTTTAGTAAATATAAACTGCTAAATACCTTTTCTCATCAGCAGTATATGGCAGTTTTGTGACTTCTATAAGTGTTCAGCGGAGCACTGGTTAAAGCTTCTAGAAGGAGTTTTCATTCTCCCCTGATTGTCCTATGAGGCTGCAGGACCCCTGACCCTCTGTCTGCACAGTGCTGATTGGCCCTGTGCTGATCACATGCACTCTCCCAAAAAAAAAAAAACCTCTCTAGCAAAACACACTAAACTGAGCATGTGCAGCTTGCCCCCAAGGCTCTGTTCTATAAGCAGATGTATTGGGGACAGTAGAAGAAGTGGGGTATCAGAGAAGACAGGATCAAACATTCTTTTTACAAAATACGGAGGATTAACCCCTTAGGTTCTACAGTGAGTATAACAAGCATGCTTTACTGCAGATACAGACTGATTTTACTGTTGTGGGCTGACCGTGGATAAGGGGGTACCACCAGTCCTCCTGTACAGGGCCCAGGCCAGCAGGGGCCCAGGCAGCTGGGTGAACTGAATGTTGGCAGGGAGGGTGAACGGCACAGAGGGGGGCAATTACTGGAACTGATCCTCTGTTTGGCTCTCTCTCTGCAGCAGCTGAAAGCTGGCTTCTTCTATCCCTCCTGCTTTCAGCTGCTGCAGAGAGAGAGCCACGCATAGGATTGGTTCCAGTAATAGCCCGCCCCACACCACAGCACCCATCACCCTTCCTGTGCACCGTAGGTTTCCCCCTTCTTACCAGGCTCCTCTATGTGCCCCCAACTTCACAGTGCTGTCAAGTTGACTTATGTGGCCCTATGGTTTCTAATAGCAGCCCTGGTTGTGGGTTTAGTAACACTTTAAGTCTCCATGCACACTAGCGTTTTTTGTAAGCTGGAAAAATGCTGGTAATAGCGTTTTGTTTGTCGAGTTTTCATGCCTCCAGCTCCTCACACTCTGCAGCTCAAATCCACCGGAAGCCACATAGATGCTTAACAGCCTATAAGTAGTGTACCACCTCCCACCTCACTCTGCAGCCTTTGGACACAAGTCGACCGTCCACATGCCCCTCCTCCTCAAAAAATCTCCTACACGGTCCAACCTCAAGGCCTCAGAGCTTCACTTCTGCTCTATCCTGGCTCATCATGCCTACTCTCAACCCCCCACCTCACCAACGCTCTGCCCGAATAGTCAGCGTTACCTATAGATGCTATCCCACCTATCAGACTTCCCCCTCCACTCCCCCTCTCGAGGATGGGGTCCCTCTGGCCAAGGCTCCGTCCACGGGGGCCCCTTCTCTTCTCCATCTTATTTATTTTGTAGACCCTCCTCCCTTTGGCCAACTCATAACACTCTCACGGCTTCAACTCACTGTATCCAACGAACAACATGTTACTCTTAATCCTTCACCTCTGTTGGTCTCTTCTTGTTCATTTTGCAGCCCGAAATTGAATCCTATCATGATCACCACCTATATGTGAAAGACATTAGTCAGACTGTATGTCTACCATACTCGTCATGCAAGCAAACGAATTCGAATCTCCAACCCCCACCTCATTCTTGGTCTTGCCCGAAAGCCCGATTGATCACACACGCCTATTGAGCGACATTATCAGACTGTTATGTCGCGCTGCCACTTCCTTAAACTTCCCACCCCTCCATAAAACCCGAGTTCCTTGTCTTCCCCCCCATCCCGGAGGACATTTCCACCCCCCATTGACTTACTCTATTTTTTTCATGTCTCAACCTTGCTCACCACACAAACCGCCACCCGCATTCTCCGTTGTCCTGAGATACCGTCTGGGCTATGTCTGGACATCCAACCTATCCTTCATCAAGCCCCAAGTCTCACCCATACATCTTTAGTACGCCTGCTCGTGCACTAAGATCCCACACATCCTACGCAACATTTCAACCCAAAATACGCCCTGCGTTGTGTCATCCTACCACCATGAAACCCCCCCCCCCCCCCCCCACCCCCATTGACTCATCAATCCACTACCTATCCCTACGTTCCCCCGAGCCACAACACCCCCCATCCACTCCAGTTCATATCCACAAACCCATCCCCCGCCCCTCAGGGTCCAGTACTTGGTGTCATTCTGGACTCCAACCAATCACCTTCAAGCCCCAGTCCAATCTTTAACAAGCTCAGTGCAGGACGTCCACCCTCCGACAACAGCACCAAAATGGACAAAAATGTATGTGAAATGGCTTTGAACCAGTATAATACAGCTCATCCACTCCCTCAGTCATATCATTTAGTGAACTGTCAGTTTACTGCAACGACCTCGCATTGGCTATCCCCGTCCAGTCGATCCGGAAACGGCGTCCACGACGCATTCAGGGACCGGAGGCAGGAAGCACGGATGCCGGCATCGGCACCGGACAAAAATTGTAATGTGCAATGCTGTGAAACGCTACCATGGGCGTCAAATTGATTTTAGTGTAGTAGCTGGCATGTCAGGGAATCCTAAGCAACTTTTCACAATTTCCCGACGGTTCCCCACTACTGTCCATCGACGTCACCTTACAGCTACCGGCATCAGCGGGACCGAACCCGGAAGAGCCGGCCAATCGGCCGGAGGATGATGGCCGGGGAAGCTCCAGGGGACAAGGTTAATTGTCTCGCAGGGAATTCCCTAAGCAACTATAACTGCAATTCCCAGCCTCATTCTAAGCCTTGCCTCGCCGATCGTCTAATACCCCTTTTCCAAGTCGATCCTAGAATACGGCTGCCAGACTCATTCACCTTTCCCCAACCACTCCGTTTCCGCCACTGCCAGTCCCTCTGCCAATCCCTCCACTGGCTTTCCGATTACCCAACGGATCAAATTCAAAATCCTAACACTGGACATAACAAAGCTTGTCCACCATACTGCCCCGAACTACATCACTGACCTAATATCCAAGTACCACCCCAGCACGCACACACACCGCTCCTCACAAGACCTCCTTCTCTCTAGTTCCCTGGTCTCCTCCTCCCATGCCCGCCTCCAGGACTTCTCCAGGTGTCACCCATCCTCTGGGGGGAACTCCCTGCCCCAACCCATCAGATTATCACCTACTTTCCTCTCCTTTAGGCGCACCCCTGAAAACCCACCTCTTCAGGGAAGCCTACCCCCACCCCCTGCTAACTTGGCGACCTCCTCCACTCTCTTCCTACCACTCCATCCCCCACAGCCATCTCCTCCTGTGCCACCATGTCCCCTCCCTCCTAGATTGTAAGCTCGAAGAGAGAAGGGCCTTTTCCTCGATCCCCTCATGTTTTGCATTGTATTGTATTGTTGTTGTTGTTCTGTCCCCTATTGTAGTGTACAGCGCTGAGCGAACTGTTGGCGCTTTATAAATACTGTATAATAATAATAAGTGCATTTCTACTGCATGGTTTGTGGCAAATGATTTCCCACTAGTAAAACACCAACTGTACGAGCCTCAATTGAAGCCTGGAAATCCTTAAGCTCCATTGCCTATAGATCCATCTCTGAATAAGTCCTCTTCTTATACCTATAACAGCTTTAGAAGTCGTAATGCCTAGCATAGATATCTCTCGAATTGGAAACATAATGGCATACGCACAATACAAGATATTTGTGTTAAAAACGACATAAAAAATATTTAGAATTCCTTTTGAAAGAATCTTAACCCCCTCCCTTCTGGAAAAAAATCAACCTATACAGCGCATCAGTCCGTTGCCTATTGAAACATCCAGTAACAAACAATATATATACCCAAAAGTAATCTTTACAGTTCTAATAGCTCCGCGTACTCCTAAATTAGGTGGTATCACCCTATTTTTATGACCTTCTACAATGTAAATCAGAATTTAATAAGTCTACTCCTTAATCAATTGGGAAAAAGACTTAGAGGACTGAAATCTCTAAATGAGCAGTTTGGAACGTACACTCAGGAAAGTGTTTTTTCAGCTA